GGGGGGGGGGGGTGTTTAGGGTAATTTACTAGGGAGAATCAAAAAGTAAAGGCAAAATACATTTAAAGGATTTTTTATAGAAGTCCACATAGTCCCCATGCAAGATGGTGCTTCTGTATTCATGAAGAGAAGAAGCTTTTCAGCTGCTGAAGCCTGGTGTCTACTGTGAATCAAGGAGGGCCTACTGTGGAACAAAAGGGGTCTACTGTGGATCTACTGTGGATCAAAAAGGGTTTACTGTGCATCAAGGAGGGCTTACTTTGGAACAAAGAGTGTCTACTGTGGATCAAAGAGGGCCTACTGTAAATCAAGGGCCTATTATGGAACAAATGGTTCTTCTGTGGATCAAAGAGGATCTATTGTGGATCAAAGATGGACTATGGTGGAGCAAATAGGGTCTATGGTGCAACAAATATGGGCTACTGTGGATCAAAAAGGGTCCACTGTGGAACAAACAGGGTCTACTGGGGAACAAAGAGGGCCTATATGGATCCAAGATGGTCTACTGTAAATCAAAGTGGGTCTACTGTGGAACAAAATGGTTCTTCTGTGGATCAAAGAGGATCTACTGTGGAATCTGAGGTGAACCTGCAACTACAGAGCTCCTTCTTCCTTTGCTCTCTAGGTCTTAAAGCTTCACCTATGTCTCGCCGGGGACAATTCCCAGCAATTTGTAAAGTTTGCAAATCTCAAACTTTTGACTTAAAGCAGTGCAGGTTATCCTCCAGAAATAGAAAACACCTTTAAGACAGTGTGTGGCCTTTGGCCCCGGTCAGCTGAGTCACAAAAGAAAATGGTTTTAAGGAATGGGTAACCCGGCCCTTTTTCTATAAACAGGTGATCTCACGGCAGCCATATTGTCATTCTGTGTTGTTGGGAAGAGGTGACAATTCTATGTAGAGACAGATTTTCTTTCTTTCTTTCTTTCTTTCTTTATCTATTATTTTTTTTCTAAAAGTTCTGAATAATGGTAAAGGTTCTGAAAAATAATATACAGTATAATTAATATTGATATACAGTACTATATAACTCTTGAAGTTCAGCAGGTGGGCACAGAGAGTGACTCCTGGCTAATGATTGTCCCGGGACGGTCATCCTCTCTCTCTGCCGTTATCATTCAAGGTTCCAACGTTTGGCATCCATCCAGATGAGGATTTGCGCCCTTGATGTCAGGTGACCTCTGATCAGTTGGGATCTGTCCACTTAACAAGTCAGAGAGGGATTTGGCTGCGGGCATGTAATGCTTTGTGTCAGGTAGTGGAGCCGTAAGCCCGAGATTATCCTGTAAAGAGGGCCTGTCTCCATCCTCTTATGTCTTAGCGAGGCCAGGATACGGGAGAGGGACAGCAGACGCACTGACATAGGGGAATAGTTAGGCTCTGGATTGCGCAGCCATGCCTCTGAGCAGATCCCTCTCCGTCACGTCTCTGAATGGCCTGCCGCAGGGGGATGAAGAGGACCTGCCTATTGAGGATCTGTTGCTCTTCGAGATCTCCTGGGAAGTCACCAATAAAGGTTGGTAAGGACTGTTTTCATCAGGGGGATCAGGAATACATCCTTTCACTGTGACCAGGAGTCATTTTTTGTGGTTGTTACCAAAATGGCTCTGGGCTAAAGGATTTAAGGGATTTTTTTTCCACTTTTTTCATAGATTCTTTGACCCTCTTTGTTCCACAATAGACCTCCTTTGCTCAACAGTAGACCCTCTTTGATCCACGGTAGACTCTCCTTGATCCACAGAAGACCCTCTTTGTTCCACAGTAGACCCTCTTTGATCCACAGTAGACCCTCTTTATTCCACAATAGACCCTCTTTGATCCACAGTAGACTCTATTTGATCCACTGTAGACCCTCTTTGATCCACAGTAGACTCTATTTGATCCACAGTAGACTCTATTTGATCCACAGTAGACCCTCTTTGTTCTAAACTAGGCCATCTTTGATCCATAGCAGACCCCCTTTGATCCTAAATAGACCCTCTTTAATCCAGAGTAGACTCTATTGGATTCACAGTAGACCCTCTTTATTCCACAATAGACCCTCTTTGATCCACAGTAGACGCTCTTTGTTCTAAAGTAGGCCATCCCATCTCTGATCCCACATAGACCCTTTTTATTCCACGGTAGGTCCTCATTGATCCACAGTAAATCTCTTTTGATCCACAGGGCCAAAGGGACCCAAAGAGATAAGTGATTGCATTTATAGTACAAAAACATAATAAAACATAAATGTTATACCAGAATCAACTTATATGGGTAACACAGCTCCATTTCGGGCAATTTAGATCCAAATGGCTCCATGTATCAAAGCTTCCTCTATTACCTAACAGCAACCAATTAGATCTGAACTTTCCCTCTCCACTTGCATCTCTCCCTTTCAGGATTGAATGTTACTGGATGGCTTGTTTAGTTAGAAAAAAAACTTCTTAGAGTGGAATTTAGTAAAAGTATAAACATATCAATATGTTTTTTATATCTAGAAAAAAGGACATCAGTTGTGTGTAAGAAAAGAACACTGACTATCAGTATAGGAAGGGTTCTTTACAGTAAGAGCACTGCATGAGCTGCTAATGGAAAACCAGAAACAGAGCGTGAAGAACAAATAACCTTTATACAACTGTATAATGGTTGCCAGCTGTCTTGGGGTTTGAAAATAATTTTTACCCCCATGGGGAAAAAGTTTTGCCTGTGGGGGTTGTTTTAACTTCTGTTGAACTAAAACTGCCAGAGATTATTAGAGCCTAATTGTAATGAAAAGAAGTCTATACCTTTAAGACTGTAAAAGAAATGAGGTCCTGGTGAGCACAGCATGCTGGGGTTTGTAGTTCCCCAGCAGCTAGAGATCTTCAGACTGTCCCTTGTGTAGTTAATAGATGAACTGAGGCTGCCATACACCTGGGAGGTCAGGAGGAGGCTCCCCATTGTGGCCCCAGTGGGTTAATCATTGCTCAGATCTGTTTATTGGCTGCAAAGTTGAAATTAAGGGGTAAAAGTTATCGACAACAGCAGTCAGTTGACAGAGAAGCCAGGAGGCCAAAGTACATTGAGGTCAGGGCCTCCAAGTTTTAAAGAGAAACACTGATCAATGGATAGACACAATGCAGTATGCGCAGTGAATGACCTGTGTCTGGGTGCTGTAGTACCTCATATAAACACTAGATGGCAGTACACCACCACTGGATAAGATGGAGGTTTAATGGCTGTACAATACACTGTAGTGTAAAACTAAAACCTCTACAGTAGCATCAACTCTATTCAAGACAAAGTACATCGACCCACAAAGAGCATCAAGCCAGCAATCAGATGCCATTGTTCTGGCTGTACTAAACGGATGAAAGCTGAAATCAGGCTGCAATCCGCCAGTCAGCGCTGGAGGATCGGAGCCGGGAGGGGGGGAATCCAGTCCCTCCCCTGTCACGGCAGAGAGCTATGACAGGATCAAGAGGTGAGTGAACGCCGATATGTGTTCGCTCACTTCCCGATCTACTGAGCCCACCTGTGACAGTCTCATTGTCACGGGTCGGCAAAAACGATGAGGATGAGTGAAAATCACTCACCTCATAGTTCTCCTTTAAAGATGTTAGACCAGGGGTGGCCAACTCCGGCCCTCCAGCTGTTGTGGAACTACAAGTCCCATGAGGCATTGCAGGACTGACAGCCACAGGCATGACTCCCGGAGGCAAAGGCATGGTATTATTTGTAGTTAAAGCACAGCTGGAGCGCCAGAGTTGCCCACCTCTGTGCTGGGGAAACAAGAAAAAAGTATTTTTCTGCTACATAAAGATGGGAGG